TTTTGTTCTTTTTTTCAGCTTAGTGGATAAAATTTAAGACTTTTAATTCCTTTGGTTAATAAGATCATGTTTGTTTTATTTTTCAAAAGAGTGCTATCATTTGGATTTCTGTGCAAATAATACAGTTTCACAGATGATAGACCGTACAAAGGCAGATGGCCAACCCTAGCCAGGATTGGGTATGTTGCAGTCTACTGTAGACTGAGCTCTTTGATTGTTTTAGGTCCCTGAGAAACATATTGTGATGAAGTGGAGGTTTAAATCTTGGCCAGAGGGTAAGCAAGCATGTTTGTTTATTGATGTCCCCAGAATGTCCTCTTTCCTGCCCGGTCATAAACCTCCATGGAAACCCTGGATCGGGACCGCCCACCCTCCCTTCCGCCTTCCCCACACAGGGCACTTTGCCACCATCACGTTGACCTTCCTTGACAAGAACGGAGAGACTGAGCTGTGCATGGAAGGCCGCGGCATCCCTGCCCCCGAGGAAGAGCGGACGCGGCAGGGCTGGCAGCGGTACTACTTTGAGGGCATCAAACAGACCTTTGGCTATGGCGCACGCTTGTTTTAGGGCTGGCAGCGGGGGACTCCAGCCTGCCCAGCACTTCTGACTGGGGCTAGTGCCGCACAGGATTGTACCATCCCAACTGCTAACTTGGGGCTGGGGCCCTCCCCTCCACATATACCTTGGGTTTGTGCATGTTTTCTGCTGGGTGGGATCAGAGGGTGATTTCTCTTTTATGTGTACATACGCTAAATAAACGTAATTTTAAAAACATACACATCTGGGACCTGTGTTCATTGAGTAGCTGGTACTGACGTCCCCTGCAGGTTTTGCATTTTAAAGAGGGCAAGGGTGCCGAAAGGGGCTCTATTCTGGGTAAGAGTAGGTATGATGAGGCACGGAGGGAACCTGCTTCTTGCTATCAGGCGTCCTTCAGGTAGTCCAGCTTCATCCTGCAGACTGTCAGGAAGCTGCCTTTTTACCAGCACAAGGTAAGGATCCACCATTGGTGAAAGTGATGTCCTGTTCTCTGTTCTTCATGGCCTCTAACCCCCTTTCAAAGAGATGACTACCAGGAGCTTGTCTGAGATGGAAAAATAGACACTGCCAAACTGTGGCAGCTTGTTGGAGCACTTGGACATGAAACACTTTTCCTCTCATCAGCTCATTTAATGCCCATAAAGCCCAATGCAATGGTACTATCACTTGTTACTCAAAAATTTAAATCTTTGAAACCTCTTTTTTTTTTTTTTTTTTTAAATTGAGAGAGTCCCTGCCATGTAGTTCAGGAGGCTGACCTTGAACTGGCAGTGCTGCTCCTGCCTCAGCCTCTCGTGTGTCTGTGTGTCTGTGTGTGCGTGCACGTGTGCTGGGATTACAGGCGTGCACCACCATGCCCAACAAGCCTCTTATTTCTTAACAGTACAGATCCAAAAGCTGATAACGTGCAGGATTGTGATTTGGAATAAGGACCTTAACTGCACAACCCAGGCTTAAATTTAAACACTCCTGCCATGTTGGGTTCTTCCCCATAAGACATTGCATTTTTAGTATATTCAGTAACCTTCCTGGATAGAAAATCCCATGTCAGTAACCCCCAACACCCACCGAAAGGAAGAAGCTGAGCATGGTAGGTGGCTCACTCCTGTAATCCTAGCTGTTGAAGAGGGTGATGCAAGAGCATCACCAGTGGGAGGTCAGCCTGGGCAACTTACTGAGAATTAGTCTCAAAATTTTGAAAAGAAGTGAGATGTAGTTCAGTGATTTGAGCCCTTAGCATGCACGAAGTTCTGAGTTCAAATCCCCAGCACCATGAAAAATAAAACAATGTCCTTGTTAAAGTAGTTTTAAATGCCTGGCAACAATTTATGGGCTGGGGATGTAGCTCAGCGGCACTGCACCCCCCTGGCAAGTGCAGGTCATGAATTTGGTCCCTGGTACAAAAAAAAAAAAACTAGCACTGCTGTGCCAAGTGCTGGGGACACACATCCTGGTGAGGTTCTGACTACTACACAGCAGGAAAAAGACTGAACAGGGAGAGACTCCCACACAAGCCTGCTTCAGTTTCCTGCACTCCAATGTGAGTCAGCACCCTCCCTGCAGACTACTACCTCCTGCAGCTGCAGCTATTTTCATCATTTATTTCTGCCTGTTTTGTTAGGCAGCAGACTTGCAAGCTAATCTTGGCCAAAATGTAGTTAAAATGTAGTTAAAGCAGAAAATCTCTCCAATTGCGATCTGGGTCATCTAGACCCCTAAAAGCCCTCTTCGGCTTAACTCAGATGAATGTTGGACCAAATTCATTGACACCTACTTTGCCATTCCATTTGTCTCAAGGTCTAAAAAAAATCTTTCAATTAAAGAAAAGAAGAAAAAAAAAAAAAACTTGGACTATAGCTTGAGTCAAATCAACACAGAAACCATTAACAAGAAGCTGGAGCCCTGATTGGCAAGTTAACAGTTACAGAATACCCAGGAAAATGGGTAGAGATTACAGTACCTTAGTAAAAAGCCAAAGCACTGGTTTAGCCGTCTGTCATGTGACTCTCAGTAACAGCTCTCATCTCCAGTACCAAATAGCTATTCAGTTACTGTCATTTCACTGATAATGCTTCAGCTAGCTATCTGAATCCAAAAGAACAGAATGGTCCTACAAAAAGTAAAACCATGGCCTTGGTTTGAATGATAAATGTTCTCCTTTCCAACCGAGGGGGCAAATTTCTTATCTGTAAAATGGGTGTGCTAAGTACCTCGAGAAAGCCTTTAAGATGATGTGTGTAGTAGCACCAGCGCCTGGTGAAATTCAGCAGATGACACCTGCTGGCTTGTGAACTACAACCCCAAGTGTTTTTTCCTTAAACTAGAATTGATATTTCAAAACACTGCCTCAGCCCAACAGTCTCCACACCTAAGAACCACCTGGGGAAACCTGTGGAATACAGAAAAGTGGAACCACTCCTAGAGACTCTTAACTCAGGTGCTGTGTCGTGTAGCCCGTGAACCTGTATCTTAATAACTCAGGTGGTTCTGATACCAGGAGTACATTTGGTGACACGTGTCAACCTGCACAGAAAACCAGACTAACAGAGGAGGCAGAGCAGCACATCAGGGGCCCTATGGTGGCTAGGGCAGAAGATCTGAGACATTCACTTCCAGGAGACAAAAGGCTAGCAGGCTTAGACCTTAGACAGAGTTTGCACCCTTGGTGGCTTTAAACCCTAGTAAGACTCTGACTGGTCTTGCCTCACCTAGGGCCCTTAATGAGGCAAACCAGAAGGGATACTGGGCAAAACCACCTTGCTAAGGTGCAAACACTGGCCTGGTATTTGTTCCAGACTCTGGGACCATGGATGAGCTCCTGGTACTGGGGACAAGAAGAACAGAGGGTCAAGCCAGTGAGGTGGCTGACACTGGACCAAAATGGGAGGAGGAGGGGCCCTCTCTGATTTCACGGGCCCCCTGACTCTGATACTGGCCCCCCTCGTGCTCTTTCCTGGGCTCAGTGACCCCTCCGTTGGTGCTGCTTCTCCCACACAGGTGTTCCTGAGGCTGCGGTCACGTGCACCAGCTTCCTTTCTCTTTTGCACAGCTTGAATAAATACTATTTCCCAGCTAACTCCTCCACAGCCCCTCAGGACTCTTTTTCTGCCCCCTTTTCTTTAGGTTCTTTCCTCTGTGACCTAACATGGCAGCATGGGTGTCGCTTACATTATCATTTTAAATTCAGTTTGGGGAACAGACAACCATTAGATTTCGATTCTATTTAGAGAATGTTATATAAGAGCCATGGCAAATACTATTAGAGAGAAGGGGGATTTGTAGTTCTGTAATACAGACTCTGAGGTGTCTCTACTTTATTATTTAAAAAAAAAAAAAAGTTTCTGCCAAAAAATAATTAAAATAAGCCAGGTACCATGGCGCATGCCTGTAGTCCCAGTTACTTGGGAAGCTGAAGTGAGAGGATCACTGAACCCAGGCATTCAAGGCCAGCCTGGGCAACACAGCAAGACCCCAGTCTCAAGAGAAAGAAAGAAGAATGAATGTACTTATGCTAATAGTGGGGGTCGGGGCTGGAGAGCCAACCCAGGGCTGCATCCCAGTCCTCTGCTGGCTGCCACTGCTGCACCTCCACTGCATGGAGACCAGGGGCTCTACTCCTCCTGAGGCTCACAGTCTGGTTCAAGGTAGGGAGCTGAGGGGCTGGGGATTTAGCTCAGCGGCATAAGCGCCTGCCTTGCAAGCAGGCAGTCGTGAGTTCGATCCCTGGTACCGATAAAAAGGAAAAAGACCAAAAAAAAAAAAAAAAAAAAAAAAAAAAAAATTTTGACAAGGTAGGGAGCTGAGTGTGAGTGCATGCAGCCACAGGGCACACTGTGCAAATCAGTTCCCTGGCTGGCTGCAGCCAGGAGGCTAGGGTTATATTGCTAGGGCTCTCAGTCTAGTGTGTAACACACGGACAGGATTTCAGTCCACACCAGCTCCTTCCGTTGGGTACCCTTGTGCAGTGAACAACCTGTGCAAATGTATCAAGTGGTCCTCTCAAGAGCCAGCACAAACCCCAGACAAACCCCCACAAACTTATCTGATACAACACAGCCATGAATAAGAAAAGCCACCTGAACTCTGTCAGTGAGACCTCAGACAAGATACCCTACACATTTGAGCCACAGTTACTTCTTTGTTTTGCCCACTGGGGATGAAACCCAGGGACATGCTACCACTGAGCTAATTTCCAGCCCTTTTTAGAGTCTAAATTGCTCAGCTTGGCTTGAAACTTATGATCCTCCTGCCTCAGCCTCCCAAATACATAGCCGGGATTGCAGGCACTCACCACTGCATCTGGCTTGAGCTGTAGTGGTTTTTTTTTTTTTTTTTTTTTTTTGTCTTTTTCCTTTTTATCGGTACCGGGGATCGAATTCACAACTGTCTGCTTGCAAGGCAGGTGCTTATGCCGTTGAGCTAAATCCCCAGCCTGAAGCTGTAGTTTTTATGTCACTCAAAACATGGGGTGACAATACTTCTCTGGCACTGGGCTTATGAGTATCTCTGTTGCCTATGTTAGGGACCTAGTCCTATGTGAGGAGACTCAAATACACTGCACCTGGGCCCTCAGCTCTCAGACTGAGCAGGGCCATTAGTGGACCCCAAAGGGCTGATGTCCTGGCTCGCCCCCAGTTTCCAGGCTGACCACAGCATATGGGCACCAAGCTTAGGAAAATGAATGGGAGGCAAACTGAATGTCGTGAAAATTCTTTGCATTATGTTGGAAAACTAGGAAGAACTTGTCACAACTTGTTCTTAATCACAGGCACCTCAGTCCAAAGACACGAATGCAAAGTTCAGGGAAAGTGTGCAAAACATGGCTGCATCTGGGCCAAATCAGACCCTTCACAGTAGGACAAAACTTGCCTCTGTGGAAGACCGACGGGCCTTGGGGAGTATTTTGTGTTTTTTTCTTTTCCTTTATTCTGTCTCTGTCTCTGTCTCTCTCTTTTGTTTTTTTTGAGACAAGGTTTTGTTGTACAGTTCAGGCTGGCCTTGAACTTGCTTTGCAGCACAGGCTGACCTCAAACTCACAGCGATCCTCCAGCCTCAGCCTCCTGAGTCTTGGGATTACAGGCATGCACCTGAATAATCTGTGTTGTTACGTCTTTTTCTGAAAAAAAAAAATAAATAAAAGAAATTAAAACAAGCCAATGCTCTGGCTGTTTTACATAAATCACATTTTATGTATATTAACGCACTGAGTACTCTTCGCCACCAACCTATGCAGTGAAGGCTGTGCCACCCCTCATTTCTGTGAAAGGAACTGAGGCACAGAGAGGGTCAGTAACTTGCCCAAGGTTACTCAGCTGGTACTGGGCAGAACAAGGACTAAGATCTACATTGGCAACAAGGTCAGCTGTGAGTGGGAAGATTAATAACATTCCTCAATTTGCCGGAAACCAAAAGATATAAATATATATAATAGTAACAGATGTCTTTAGTGTAGGGGGTCTCAAGGCTATTGTGAAACTCAAATGTTGGGAAAACAAACAAAACCCCCAGCTTTGCAAACTGCTATAGTATTGCTTTGGAGCCATTGATGGGGTCTGTAAGCTCCTGGTTTCCCCAGCTTTCCCTGTAGAGAAACCCTCAGGCTCTGGCCACCACCATCTGCTCAGGACTGAGGGCAACAGCCAGCGATGCCAGGGTGGGGTGCTCACCACAGCTGTCTGGCTCCTTGAAGGCCCAATCCCCGGGTCCCAGCCAGCCCTTGTCCCAGCCGTCTGTGGCCCCACTGGACCATGGCGCCTTCTGCTCCTCTTCATCTTCATTGCCCTTCTGGTCCTCAGGCTCCCTGTGCTCTGCAAGATGCTGCTCCTCTCCTCCTTCCCTCTCTTCCTGTTCCCCTGGGGCTCCACCCTTGAGGCCAGTGGCCCCCTCTTCGCCCTCCGGGTAGCCCCAGAAGAGGGGCTAGAAGAGGTCTTTGGTGGGCAGCCACCTAGGAGCGCCCAGGGGCCAGCGAATGCTGGGCTCAGCCAGCAGGTCCACCTCCACCTCGGCCTGGGGGTCCTCCACCACTTCGATGGTCACCTGCAGGGAGACAGACGCCAGGCAGGGAGGCCTCAGAGCAGGACTCTGAGGATGGGCTGTGGTGGGAGCCAAAGCCCCATCCTTGCCTTCAGCCAGCTGTCATCTGTCCCAGATCGTGGCCTCTCAGGGCACGTGGGGCACATGGGAGACTCCGGGAGCCCAGGCCCATATCTGAAGGTAACAAGTCTGGGGAGAGGATAGACGCAGCAGTTTCAGCTTGGGCCACAGTTGAGAGCCTCTAGTTTAAGAAAAGCTGGCTTTGAATTCTTTTTTTTTTTTTTTTTCCCCTCTAGTGCTGAAAATTGAACCCGGGTCTTCACACTGGATCCTTCGATCTTTTTATTTTGAGACAGGGTTGCAAGTTGCTAAGTTGCTGGGCTGGGCTAGCAAGCCTGCGTTTGCTTCCTAGAGTGCTGAGTTTCTAGGCATGCACTACCACGCCTGGAAGGGCTGGCCTTGAATTCTGGTTCTGCCATACACAGTTCCATTTTTTCAGGGCAGGGCTGGAGAATGAGAGCAAGTATGAAATCTCAGAGCAGCCCTCGGGAGGAGCTCTCTACTCACATTAAGCAGGAGGCGTAAATAAAATAATTTAACTTTGGGGCTGGAGAGTTAGCTCAGCGGCATAAGCGCCTGCCTTGCAAATGCACAGTCATGAGTTCCATCCCGGGTACCAAATAATAATAATAATAATAATAATAATAATTTAACTTTAAAAACATTAGTTTTGGGCTGGGGATTTAGCTCAGCGGCATAAGCACCTGTCTTGCAAGCAGGCAGTTGTGAGTTCAATCCCTGGTATCAATAAAAAGAAAAAAGAAAAAAAAGTGTAAAAAACATTATTTTTTTTTAAAAAATGGCTGGGGATTTAGCTCAGTGGCACAAGCACCTGCCTGGCAAGTGCAAGGTCTTGAGTTTGAGTCCCAGAACCAAAAAAAAAAAAAAAACCAAAAACCAAAAAAACCCAAAACAAAAAACTGCAAACATTACTTCTGCATACTATCAAGTAATAAGATATGACTGACCGAAATTTGGAGAAAAACAACAAAACATAAAGAAAATGACTATTTTCCTAAAAACCACTTATATGTTTGCATTTATATGTATTTATTCCATCTGAATTTAATCTTGTAGAGCTGGGTATGGTGGCACATGCCAGTTAATCCCAGCGCTGAGGAGGCTGAAGCAGAAGGATCACTATGAGTCTGAGACCCGCCTGGGCTATAAAGTGAGTTCAAGGCTGGCCTGAGCTGCATAATGAAACCCTGTCTCAAAAAAGACAAAAGAAAAATTTTTAATGAATTTAATCTTATAAATAGACTAAGTCAAATTTAACTTCCCAGACAGGTAAACAAGTGTTCCAGAAAAATGCTTTGCATGCTAGGAGTGGTATGCACACCTGTAATACTAGCACTCAGGAGGCTGAGGGAGGAGGATTGCTGTAAACTTGAGGCCAGCCTGAGTTCCATAGAGAGAGTTCAAGGTCAGCTTGAACTACATAGTGAGACCCTTTATCAAAAACAAAAAAAAAGCGTTGTGAAGTCCCCATTCACTGTCAGTCTGCAGTGCTGGTTGTGTAATAAATGCATGTGTGGGTGTTAGAGGGAAACAAACCATGTTCCCTCTCAACACATTCAAATATCAAAAAAAGAAGAAAACTAAAACCATCTGTATTCCATTACCGACAGATAATCTAGTTTTTGTACACTCTAGGTATGTGTGTATATAAATCATACAGAGAGGGAAGGAGAGAGAAATGTATTTGTTTTAGATGTACTTTAAAACAATCATTTTGGGGGTAGCACTAAAGATTGAACCCAAAACCTTTGCACTGAGCTACGTATCAGCCCTTTTTTGCTTTTTATTTTGAAACAGAGTCTTGCCAAGTTATTATATTACTCAGATTGGGCTTGAATTGACCGTCTTCGTCACTCAGCCTTGTAGAGTGCTGTGGTAAACACTGGCCACCATGCCTGGCTTAAAACACTTCTATTTTATTTATTATATTTTATATTTTTGGCACTGAGAATCAAACTCAGGACCTTGGGGCTGGAGATTTAGCTCAGTGGCATAAGCACCTGCCTTGCAAGCAGGCAGTCGTGAGTTCGATCTTCAGTACCGATAAAAAAAAAAAAAAAAAAAGTAAAACTCAGGACCTTGTGTTTGTCAGATTGGCATTTATTTATTTATTTTTGGTGGTGAGGATTGAACTCACAACCTTGCACTTGCCAAGCAGGCATTTACGCCACTGAGCTAAATCCTTGCCCAAGGTAGGCACTTAGGCTGCTAAGCTATATCCCCAGCTCTTAAAACATTTTTAGAATATTATGTTCTACACTTCTGTGACTCTCCCTCCCTCCTGTCCTCAAACTCACTGGGACCCTCCTGGCTCAGCTCCTGTGTGGGGATGATAGGCGTAAACACCACACCTGGCTCCCTCCCTCTCAAAGCATTCTGTAAACTGCAGCTGCTGCACAGTCGGGCAGAATCACCAAGCTCTGAGCTCCCGGGCAGGCAAGCGGGTGTGCAGCTGTGATTCTGTCATCCCTCTGGCATCCGCTTTGGCACGATCCTCCTGATGGGGGTCCCCATGCTGCCAGCCTACCCCATTCTGTACTGAACCCCTTCTTCAGGGGTACACAGTAAGGGGGTTGGGACTGGGTGGGGGTGAGGACCAGACCTTCAGCCTTTCTCAAAGAGGCCCCTCTCCTATATTCCCAGAGCTGCCCGCAGGTGACAAAGTATGCATTTCCCCTCCTTCAGTCCCACTGGCCTTGCCAGGTTGGTATTGTTTGTCTCAGAGAGCTGAGACTTGCCCAAGGCCCATAGCTAGAGAGTGGCGGGGTAGGTGCCCTCCTGCACACCACACCACACCACAGGGAAGGGTGGGCTCTGTCCTACCCACAGGTGCCCCTGCCGCCCAGGGAGGGTACAGTCTGGGGCTGAGCCCAGCCCAGTGCCTCTGCAGGTGGCCTGTTGTCTAAAGTCTCACCTGGAGTTGGGGTTTGGGGCATTCAAGTCTGTGAGCTTGAGCCAAGCCTGGCAGCTTTTGCAGCTCCACTTAGTAAAGGCATGTCCGCCAGGATCGCAGGAGGTGTGGCCTTGCCCGGGGCTATGACTGCTGGCTCCGGAAGAGTCTGGCGCTTGTGCCTGGACATCGAGGTTTGTGGATGGGTTCCAGGGAGCAGCAGAGGCGCCGCCTCTTCCCCAGGGAAGGAGACACGGATCTGGGGAGAGAGGGGAGGCTGGTGACCGAGACATGGACATGGACGAGCTGGTTAGGAGGATTCAGGAGCCCAGGGTCTGACCATGCTACACTTGCACCCTGTACTTAATCCTGCCAGGAGTCAGGAGAGTGGGCACTGAATGTGAATCTAAACTCTGCCTGCTTTAACGTGCCAGCGGTGAAGTGAGGTGTATTGGGCAGCCCTTGGGCTGCGTGCACAAACATTGTGTCCGACTGGTGCCCAGGTGAGGCAGGAAAGCAGGATCAGCACAATTCAGCTTCCTTGTGATGCAGATGAAGAACCCAGACAGGAAGGGAAGGAGTTGTTTAAACCAAGGGTCCAATGTGTTGTTTGCATACTACCTGCTTGCAATCCTTGGTCTGTCCCCCTTTCCCTGCTGTGTACCCAAAGTCAGAGCACAGAGGCCCCCAAGGGTGTGGCTGGTCCTGCCTCTTAGCCTGTCACCTGCCCTGACCGAGCTATCAGCCCATGGGCTGCAGTGCTGGGCGTCTCCCTTCTCCAGGAGCTGCTATGGTAAGCTCATCCCCTCTGCCAGCTGCTGGTCACAGCTCCCACACCCAGGACTGTCCTTGGTTCAGTTTAGAGAGTAAGAGACAAGCCTGCCCCAGGGTTCCCCAGCACACGGAAGGAGGCACTGTGGGGTCAGCACTCACCACCTACCTCTCAATCTCCTTGACAAGGTGGACAGAGTCCCTTCCAGGCTGCCTTCATAGATCTGGGGAGGCCAGAGTCAGAGGATCCTGCCCCGCCCAAGCCTCACTGTGACCCATTCTTGTCCCCACTTGCTCTAGAGTGGCCACGGTGGGTAGATGAGGCACACTCCCACTGGGTGCCTCTGGGAGCAGGCATGGTGCTACTACACTGGGATTCTACATGGTTATCCGGGCAGAGGGAGAAGAGCCAGGCATTTACACACAAGTCACTGGTGGAAGGCCGCTGGGTAGGAGGACCTTTCTCCCTCCAGCACCTTGGGCTGGCTGTGCCAGTGGAGCAGGCTACAGCCAGTGGAAGTCCTCAGACAATTGGACCCTGGGTCCTGCACACAGGCCTGGGGGAGATGGGCAGATACCAGGAGCCCTCAGCTTAACCTGTCCTCTGAGCCTGGGCTGGGCGTCTACCTACCACCTGCCATTCACGCTAACTAGAATGGACATTCTGCGCAGGCAAGAAAGTTTGTTCTGCTCTGTTTAGTGTGTCCTCAGTGCGTCACACAGTGCCTGACACACTGTAGAAGCACAATCAATCACTGATGGTAAACAGAGAGGGCAAAGGACCGGGTAAGGTCAAAATAACACAGCTGGGATTCGAACTTAGGGCTGCCCGCTCCTGTCACTCATGCACAGGGGCACACACTCTCTCAGGACAGGACCACACTCCTAACACACCACCACTTCCAGCATCTTGTCTGGCACTGACTGTGGCTGAGGTCCACATGACCTGGGTCTGAACCCCAACTCATCTGCTGAGTGGCTGTGTGACTCGGGGGTGTTACTGCCTGCTTTTCCTCTGGGGACCAAGGAATCAGCAGGGGTGTCTCTGAGGGCTGCTGAGTTAGACCCTGCCCTTGCACCTGGGAATGGACACCACCTAGGGGTGACAGCGGATGGTTCTCAGAGAGGAGAAAGAGACAGGAACATCCCCTGGCCAGCCCCCTGTTAGTCCTTTGTATCTTATTCCTGTCTGATGCAGAATCTCTGGGCAGGTGGATTCTCATGCACATGTTCTGCCTGGTTAAGTGTGCTGTCCACATGACCACCTCCCTCCTTGTGCTATGCTCCATGTACAAATCCCAGATCCCTTCTTTTAGGAGGTGGTGTCACTGCTCAGACACACGCGTGTACATGTGTACACACACACAGACACACACACACACACACACACACACACACACACACACACACACACCTCTGCATTTCCAGGCTTAGCCAGGAAGATTTGACCCACTGTTTCCAGGAGCACAGCAGAGTTCCAACCCCCAGAAGCCCTCACTGTGTGATGGATCCATTGTTAACCTGTGTCAGCCCCTTCTGTCTCTGAGGTTTCCCTCTCCTGGGCCTCAGGGGTCAGAAACTTGGGAACAGCGCCCAGCTGCCAGGCGGAGCCCACCCCCTTCCTTCCCCTCCCCTCCCTGCAGCCCCGATGGTTGAGGTCCAGGCTGGTCCCAAGGAACCATGTGCACACTCAGTCACTGAGTGTGAAGTAACTCGGCTGGGCTCACAGCTCAGAGCTGGAGAGTAGGACCGGGGCAGCTGATCTGGCCGGAGAGTGTGTTCCTTACCCTCTTGCTGTGCCAGCTGTAGGCGGCGGCTGCAAGTTCCAGTTTGCTACCTGCTGCTCTGGTGCTGAATGAACAGAACACTGTCCTTTTTGCATCCCTTTCCCTTTGATCCTTTTACCACTGCGGGTGGTGGAGAGGGAGCAGAACCAGCTGAGAAGGAGGCTGAGACCTAGGGAGGCGGGCCTTGCAGGGCCTCTGAGCAGCCAGGTTTCTAGGCCTCCATTCGGTCTTTCCTTTCCCCCTCCCTCAAGCAGCTCCCTCAGGTTCCCTGGCCCCAAGAGAAGACAGTCTAGAGAGAGAACAGAGGTCCAGCTAAGGCCTGGGACGCAGGAGGCAGAGGCTCCCCAGCAAGACCACAGGCTTGGCCACAACCAGGCTTGGATTCTGCTCCCGGGTGTGGATGTGGATTGAGAGAGGAAGACCTCAACCAGCCTTGGGGAAATGCTGGCTTTGCAGCCCGGAGAGCTTCCAACACCAGCCTCTCCTGCAATTCAGCCCCTGCCTGCCAGCAGCTGGCCGGACAGTGGACTGTTAACACCCTGCTGATTGCACTGTCCCTCATGGGCCTGACACCCTGCGGGCTGTGGAGACCCTCGGGCTTCTTCCTCCGAATTCCCATCTTCTCTCACGCCATTCCTTCAGATGGCTGGCTACAAAATCCTTGCTCATGTGGGGACTTTCAACAAGGCTCAGTTTTTGCAGCTGGAGAGAACTGTCCTTTCTCAGTTCTCTTGCCTAATCTTTTTTTTTTTTTTTTTTTTTTTCTTTTTGAGACAGGGTCTCACTGTGCAGTTCAGGCTGGCCTTGGGCTCACTTTGTAGCCCAGGCTGGTCTCAACCTTGGACGGATCTTCTGCCTCAGCCTCCTGAGTGCTAGGATTACAGGAGTGTGCCACCACGCCCCACTCTCTTGACTAATCTTAACCCCTGTCATCCTTGGGACCGAGTCCCTACCCTCTTCTCTTGCCCTGATTCCTTTCCTTGCCTTCCTGGGCAGGGGTGCCGGGTTACCAGCAATGTTTAAATCTCAGCTTCCTATATGTTGACCTCGGGTCAGTGATCGGGCTGTTGTCAGTTTCCTCACCCCCCACCCTGACGGAGATTATCAAAACAACACACACAAAATGCTTGACATTTTGTCCTCACCCCAACTGGAACCCAAGGTGGAGATGAGTCACTCTCTACCCGCCCGGCACCCAATCTTCCCAGCTCCCGCCTGCTAATCACAATGCAGCCCATGTGCCCAGTGCTGTCCACCCAGCACTCTGCCCCGAGTGAGTGCTCATTTCCATTTTACCATGGAGTAAACTGAGGCTCAGCAACAGGTCTACCCAGAGCAGGGGCGGCACCATTTGTCCACAAGTCTAGTAATTCTTTTTTCAGACTTAAGATGAGCAGTCTAGTGCATGCCATGCAAAGATCCTCCATGAAGTTCCCAGCCTAGCTCTTTATAACACAGACTTGGCTCCCACCTGGGCTTAACCTGTCTGTGACTCCATTTTTTCACCTGGAAAATGGGGACAATGCCCATCTCATATTAGCTAAGTGGTACAGCCTCTGTGAGGCCTAGAGAATGCTCCTTTCCTCTAGGTCAGCCTCCACTGTTACACTGAGGGGCTGTGGGTGTTGTACTAAAATGCTAAAAAACTAAAATGCAAAGTTAAAAATATAGTTATTAGCAAAAATAGTTATAAAGATATTATTAGCAGTATTGCCATTCTGTGCTGTGCTCTTACCTTAGTAACCACGAAGCACCAACCACATAGTTATAGATTAACTGACCACTTCCATCATGCTGTTCTGTATGCTTCATTCCCCCCCCCCCAGTAACCTGTTTGCTGTGTCAACCATTGTTCCCTTTGTGAGAGACAAATGTTCCTGAATTGGCAGACCAAGGGCTATGAGTTGGCTAACCACCCACTGTGAAATGCCTCTGACCTCAAGCAGAGGGGAACAAAGGCCCACCTTGTTTCTGTTTTTCATTGCTATGTACTTAATGATCAATGAGCTAATTGTAAATGAACTATAAAAATCTGTCAAAATTCTAGCCCAGTTGCACAGCTTTGCAAACTCCATCTACACTGTGTCACTGGTGACAGCTTAAATAAAAGCACTTCTTTTTAAAAGACGTCTTGCTGTCCCGTTTTTTTTCTTTTTGAATAACATTGTGGGGCCTTGTTTTTGGGGGGTCCAACAGTGGGGTGAGTGGGGTTAGTTCTTCATGCTCTCATAAAGGTTTTTGGGCCCCTCACTTATTTCAGATATATAGCTAAGCCCCTGCAACAGCAATCTGTATTCGCTCGTCAGGATGCCTGAGTGAACAGCTTTGCTGTGGAACCCCACAGACTTGTGGAACACTGGTCAGAGCTGGAGGGACCCCTCTTTTGAACATGAGGAAAGCAGGCTGAGGCAGGAAGACTGCTTTGCATTCAAAGCTAGCTTAGGCTACAAGTGAGTTGAAAGCCAGTCTGAACTACATAGTGAGACCCTGTCTCAAACAAACAAACAAACAAACAAAAAAATAAACAAGACGAAGAGAACATCCAAGATGAGCCAGTCACATGTGCATTAATGACCTGCTGGGACTAGAATCCCAGGCCCTGGGCTCTTTGTGTGTGTGTGTATGTGTGTGTGTGCGCGC